TTGATGTTATTAGATTAAAATGTATTAAGCTCTTAATTTTAGTCAAAAATTTCTCGGAACTTGATTTTCCTAGAAATACTCCCATATGTTGATTCAGACGAGGATGATCCAGAATTACAAGAACGTCTTAAAGAATTACGAAAAAAATATAAGAAAAATTCTGGTAACTTCACATTATTTTTATCAATATCAATCAGTATAATTGTGATCTTTAAAATCATTCACTATTGAACAATATAGGAGTACGTCAACAAAATACTGGAGTGCCAGTTCTTAAACAATTTATTGTTAATAATATACATCAAGAGAATGACATCCGCTTGATATTCCTGTCTTGTCAAATGAAAAATCACCATCTCAAACACAAAGTATTGTGCCAACGGAAGTTATGAGTGTTCCGGCAATAAAAAAAAAGACACTGTTGTGGCCACAGTAGTTGTTCGCAAACCAGACAATTGGCCGTCCAAAAAAACAAAAAAATTAAACACACTTCTTGTAGTGCTGGAGATGGTTTCAAAGGTAGTTCTTCTGGTAGTAGTCAAAAAATTACTAGAAAAAGAACACGAGAATGTTATAATCTTCGTAATAAAAAACGTGTAAACTATTATTATGGATCTGTATCAAGAAAGTGTCATAAGGTTTCATAACACCTCCTTCTTCACCTCCACAAACACCTAATTTTTCAGATGAAGAGGTATAGTATAAACAAAAATTATATTTAAAAATAGAATACAATATTAATTTTTGCATTATTTATTATTATTGCTACTATATTTTTGTGATACTACTGTGTTTCTAAAATCATGATATTAAGGTGGACAAAAATTTGGAATGCTTTGTTATAGAGATCACAATTTATTTATATTACGAAGTTTTCAATATTCCTTTGAATTCAAGCATATGTTTATATTCTCACATTCATTCCCTATTTTTTTGCTTTATTTCGTTATTATTAGCTGACTAATTTTCGAAGATGCGTTGGATGCTCCGTAGAATATCAAACGTTGCAAAAAGGTGCTGGGTGTAGTATTAGGTTTACTAAAAGAATAGGGCATATGCAGAAGACAATTCCTCAAAAATTAGAATAGCGTTGCTACTATTGTATTAATAAAATGGTAAAAAGTGGTCGGCGTGACAATTTGTCACGCGTGACTCATTTTAAAACAATCATATATAGTAGGCCTGTTCAATACTGATCGTTCAGATTTTTGATCGGATTTTGAGTTGATAATTATTGGCAGGCGACTCGATCAGCAATTCGATTTTTCCGATCAACAAAAAGGTGGATTTTTTTGATCACATAACAAAAACAAATGGTTGATTGGTTTTTGTTGAAATTTTTTGCAATCAGA